GCTCCCCTGTAAAGTTTAAGTGGAGAACCTTGCACTGGTCTTCTGCCCTAGAGAGAAATGGGGAAGCAGCTGTTACGTAATGAGCTTAGAAAGAATGCAGAGGGACTGGGGCTGGATTCTTCTCCCTTTGATATCAATGGGAGTCTTGCCTTTGTCTTCAATAGGAGAAGCATCCAGGACCTGATCCTCTGAGACTGGGACAGGGTTCATAGGCCTGCGACTTGGCCTCAGCCAAAGCATGTGTTGAGTCCTGAACTAGTCTGTTAGACTAACGTACTTTTATGAGCCCTATTACTGCAGTATCTGAGCGCCTCACAGTCTTCAATGTATTTATCTTCACAACACCCCTGAGAGGTAGGGAAGTACTATTATTCCCATTTTACAAATGGGAGAACTAAAGCACAGAGAGGCTAAGTGACTTGCCCCTGGCCACGCAGGCAGTCTGTGGCAGAGCAGGGAACTCATGACCTTTTGTATCTTATACGTGGGCTCTAAATCAAGCACTGTCCAAGTGGGTCTTGCAATAGGACTTTTGTCCTTAGTTACTGTAGGTAGGTTAGCTTGTAAAGAGAGCACAATTGCACAGTGTCTTAGGTTGTGATGCAGACATAACCTATGTTGGCAAAACTTATGTAGCTCAGGGGCATAAATATTCCACCGCCCCTCCCCGAGCGACATAAGTTACACCGACATAAGTGCTCATGTGCACAGTGCTGTGTCTGATCAAACACTACTTTCTATGCATATGGCCATGGTAAAGTGGATGATAACTGGTTTAAGCCATGTCTATAAGTACAGCACTGCAGTGGCACAGGTATACCGGCACACACTGCAGCACGTGTGGCGAAGACGCTCTATGCCGACGAGAGAGAGCTCTCCCGTTGGCATAAAAAAAATCCCTGTCCGCGAGTGGCAGAAGCTATGTTGGCAGGAGAACTTCGCCGCTGCAGCACTGTACATATAGACATGGCCTTAAACTAGTCAGCAGCTACATTATCGTGGCCATGTGCACAGAAAATAGTGTTTGATCAGTAGGACCGAAAAGATTCAAGACCTAACCCCGTCTTGACTGACCCTACATTATGCCTGTTGGCGGCTGTTGCTGCTGCTGCTGCTTATTATTTATTTTTATCACCATAAAGCCTAGAATCCCTAGTCAAAGGCCAGGGCCCCATTGTTCTAGATGCTGTACAAACAGAGAACAAAGCGACAAAGAATTTACAAACCAAGTATAAGGCAAAAGACAAGAGCTGGATAGAGACAGACCAACCGGAGAGTACAAGGGAACAGTGAGACAATACCGGTCAGCATGATCAGCAGCGATCTAAGCACACCAGCAGCCTGCCTGTTGTCGTCATATTTTTTTTGTAGGCATCTCACGGCAAAGGAGAGTTTCGAGGAGGGACTGAAGGGTGGATAATGAGTTAGCTTTGTCTATGTTTACAGGGAGCTCCTCCTAAGTGGGAGGGGCTGCCTGGGAGAAAGCCAAAAGGTGCCTGCTTGAACATTTAACAAGTAAGAGAGAGAGAGGCTGGCATCATTCCTCAATCAGAGGTGGGAGTCGATATTTCAATAGTGAATGAGAGATGATAGGTTGTGAAGGGTGTTGAAGGTGAAGACAAGCAGCTTATGTTTGATATGACAGAGTAGGGAGAGTCCATGGAGGGAGGCAAAAAGCAGGGCGACATGGCCAAAGCGACAGGCTAGGAAAATTCTTTGCAGCAGCACTCTGAATGGATAGGAACGGGGCAAGATGGCATTTGTCAAGGATGTTGCAATTGCCCAGCCATGATATGATGAGATTTTTAGCTGTGTAGAGAGGAAGTGCTGTATCTTAAGGCATGTCTACACCAGGACTGACTGACCATGGCAAGCTGGGGTGTAAATCTACAGCGCTCCAGCGTGCCATGTGCTAACTGTCCTACTATGGTGGACTAGAAGTTTCCTAGTGTTCACCCATGTACAGTGGTTTGAAACAGCAGAAGGTCAAAGGTCACTAGAGAGCTTGTAGTGTGCATCAGCAGGGGCCACATAGACAGCGCATGGTCCTCTGGAGTGCTGTAGATTTACACCCCAGCTGGACCATGCAGATGTGCCCTTAGAGGTTTTATGCAGAAAGAATCTGCAAGATTTAGGTGTAGCCTGGATGTCAGAACCTTGAGAGGGGTCTGCTCCAAGTCAAAGATGAGGCCCAGGTTATGGGCCTCAGTGACAGGCAGGTAATGGTGGTGTTGCTCACGGGGGACAAGTGAGAAGATAGCTGGGAGTGCTTGGGGAGGAAGACTGAGGGTATGTTTACACTGCAATTAAAAACCCGCAGCTGGGCTGTGCCAGCTGGCTTGGGCTAAGGGGCTGTTTAGTTGCAGTATAGGTGCTTGGGCTGGAGCTTGGGCTCTAGGACCCTGCGAGGAGGAGGGTCCCAGAGCTCAGGCTGCAGCCTGAGCCCAAGCATCTATACAGAAATTAAACAGCCCCTTAGCCTGAGCCCGAGTCAGCTGGCACGGGCCAGCCACAAGTGTTTAATGGCAGTGTAGACACCCCCCTGGAGCTCTGTTTTAGCCATGTTGAGTTTGAGCTGACAGCTAGACATCCATGAACAAACAGATATCAGAAAGAGTGGCTGAGATTTTAAAAATTAGGCTAATAATGGCTGTTGCACTCTAGCTTTATAGCTATCATGCTTTCAGAAACCTTTCTGAACCTATTTTGTGCTACTTTAGCAGAACCCTAGCAGTTGCAACTGAAAGTTCTCACCCAGTGGAAAATTAGAGAATATATACCCAAAATTCAGTAATTACTCAATAGAATTATGCCTTCATCCAAAATATGTCTGGACTACATTAATTTGTGCGGAAAATACCAATGGCATTAGAGCATTTTGTTGATAGAAATACTTGCTATCTAGCAGAAACAGGAAATTTACAAGTAATGGTTTGCTTAGTTTGTACAGATTAGAGTATGACTCAGTTTTGTACTTAGCATTACAGATATTAGAGATGGAAAAGACCTGTTTACGTGTTATAGTCCATCACTTAGCCATTACAAGTTTCTTTACTGTAGTATTATATATTTTTCCAGTGCTTTGTCCAATCTACTCTTCAATGTTTGTGATAGGGCTTCCTGTGCTTCCCTTTTAAGAATGGTGAAATGTTGTGGTCTGTGTGCAGGAAATCAGACTAGATGATCAAAATAGTTCTTTCTGGCCTTAAAAAAAAGATCTATGAATGTTGGAAAGTCTATTATACATTTAAATTGATCTCATCTCAGTCAGGAAGTTTTTTCTTTTATATTTAGTCTTAATCTTCCATATTTATGATTTCATCCCATTACTCCAGGATACACAGGGCTTTCTTCCCCTGACCTGGCTTTCCAGAGTCAGATTCACTATAGATCTACGGCTATCACAGTTTCAGAAACCTTTTTGGACCTACTTTGTGTTACAGGATCAAGCCCTTAGCCTCTCTGAGTCTGTTTACATATCTGTAAAATGGAGATAATAAAAATCACCTTCCCATCTCACAAGAATGTTATGAGAATTAACAGTTAACATTTGTACAGTGCATTGGAGATATGGGGCAGATTTTCAAGTGCTCGGCTCCCACAATTGGAGCCAGATTTTTGGAAGAACTCAGCACCTAGCAGCTTCCGTTGCATGACGCAGAGTGCTGTTTAAGTACTAAAATGAAAAAATAGCCACTGAGGAAGTGAAACCATGCGTTCTGGGATTGCAGTGATTCATGGATGTATATCACACTTTTGCTCTGCCTCTCTGCTTTGTTGCACCTTTTTTGCTGGTATAACTGGCAGGCTGTGGGGATGTATATGAATCCTTGCTCAACTTAATGCCATGCTTGCTTACAAGAACATCAGTCTGACAAAGCAGAGTTGAACGTGATGTTTGCGTGCCTGTGTCACGTGCAAGTGTGTGCCCACAAACCAAAACACAGCTGGCAGGTCTAATTTTAGACCTTACCAGCCTTGAGAAGTGTCCCTTTAAAGATATACTTTTCTCTCTAAAAACAATTTGGTTGATAATACAGCTGCTGACAATCCTGCTGAAATATTACATATGATTTAAATAAAAACAAAGGAAACCACTGCCCAGTAATTGTAAATTAAAAAAAAAAGTGAGGCCACTAAAGAAAGATCCATAAATTAAATGATGTGTCAAAGGAATACGTGATTTTAAAATTTAAACTTGGGATTTGTACACACAATAAGACAAAGTATATTGACTTATTTATTTGTACAGTGCCCAGAAATGTTACAGGTGATTTATATACATATAAAGTAGGTCCCTTCAGATAAATAATATTCAAAACTTTTGCTTAAGTTGGTCAGAATCAGCTTGAATCTCTTGCAAGCCCTGTCTCTTTACTCGGGCTTTTAGGGAGCAGTGGTAACGTTTATGGTGCAAGTGTGTGAGACTGGTACTTCTGGGTGCTGTGGGATGTTGCCAGGGGATGGTATGATGGATTATCTGAAGCTCATGAAGGGTATTATTAAAAATTATATTAAAGCCATGGAAAGCTCAGGAGAGGTGATCCCCTCCCCCACTTTGTTATAAATCTAAATAGAGGAATGACTGAAACAAGTCTTAATATACTGGATCTGTCAAAGTGAACACTTAATATGCATGGCCCTTTTTACCCCCTGTTTGTTTCTGTACAATGGTAGATTATTGTACAAATTACTTTTCTGCTTAAAACAATTCCATGTTGGAGAATCTGTTGCTGATCTCCTTATAGACTCTGTGACCTTGTGGGTTCGTTCGTTCGTTCTTTCTTTCTTTCTTTGTCTTAACAGCGTCACAAAATATCAACAGCTTTTTTTTTTTAAAGGCTCATCCTTTGCAGCAATTTCTTTGAGTCCCAGGTATTCTGTGCTCCTGGCTTACTGTTTGGCTGGTTTGTTCTGTGACTTTGTGAAGTGCAGAATCCACTGCCGGTATTTGAAGTTCCCCGGGTTCAGTTACACCAGCAAGCGCTGCTGTAAAATTGCTTTGCTTTCCGAGATAGCCAGCAGAGGGAATCGGGACTTTGCTTGCAGCAGGGGCTGAAAAAAGCAGGCTGTTTCTTCTTGGAGGAAATACTGCAGCCTTCTGGACTGCGTCTGCTTCTCGAGGGAGAGGCTCACTGTAGGTCCACCCACACCGGCTGGAAGGAGGGGGTTTGAATGAAAGACAAGACAAGCCCTAAACACCATGTCACACCGTGAGAGGGGCAGCAGCAAGTAGGCTGTGGAAAGCTGCTTTTTTATTTAATTTTTTTTAAAAATAATAAAGGGGAGCGGGGTTGGGGTGAGGAAGAAGAGAGAGAGAGAAAAAGCTGGTCTGCAGCGGTTTGGAGTTCCACTGTCTTGCTGATTTCTCTAACAGGACTTTTTTTCTACAGACACTGGCAATTGACATTACTACAGACAAGCTGGCTAGGAAAGAAAACGCTGTATCCTGAGTGCAGGAGGGCGTGGGGGGGGGGGGAACAAAACAAGGGGTTTTTTTTTTAGCTCTATCTATATTTTGTTTTTGTTTTTATTCTTGCTGTGTTGGACCTTGTGAGCAGTAGAAGGCAAGGAAGTCTCGAAAACCTCATCAGTCATCAGTACTGTCAGGAATAGTGGTTTAAGAGGAAGAAAGGCCTGGGGCACTACACCCTGTCAACGAGTTCCCTGCATCGGAGATAAAGATTCCAGCTACATGGGCAAACGCTTGGAACAGCAACCAATGTACCCTCAGTACACTTACTACTACCCTCATTATCTCCAAACCAAGGTATGGTACAGCAGTTCCCTGCCTGTCCAGCAGTGCTAATATGATATCATTATACACTTAGTGAAGGATGGATGGTGGAGTTGCATAAATTAGAGGTTTTGTTTGTTTGTTTGTTTTTTCCCCTTGAATTCAGTATCATGCAGAGCTAATAGCCAGAAACAGGAAGGTTAGGCTTTATGCATTTATTTATTAATTTTATTTTGACTACTATCTTTAGTTAATCCCTTTAATTCCCCTCTCCCTACAATAAATGTGGTTAATATTATTGAAGCAAGTATACATGATTATGGCATAGGCTGGAGATGGCTCTGGACAGCATCAGGCATGCAAATACTGTTTCAGTGATCTATGCAATTTATTTGGCGTTCAAAAGCATTTTGCCATTAGCAAAGAGACAGTGGATACCAAAACTTTTAATCAGTGAAGTCTGAGATGCTGTGGGGTTCTGGGGTGGACAAGGCGCTAACCTACTGTAAATCTTTTGGCGTTTTCTCTGATGTATTGAACTGCTTTTAATGTTGCGTTAAATATTGAGGATGATCTGGCTGTGTGCTGTTACATTTGATAGGGCTGGAAATAGATAGTAGCTACTGTCAGAAAAAGCACCAAACATGGTTTCATTTTTTTCAATGTCAGTGGCTCTGGAAGGCCGGTCTGCATCTCCCAGCAAGACTGAATGAAGTTGATGACACCTGGATTTTAATTAGTTAAATCATGCTTTGTTTTTCCCTAATGGCATTGTACAATAATCTGCTGCCCAAAAGAGTCTCCTTTGCAACCAGTGGACAGTAACAAAAACAACTCTGCAAACCAGTTAGGGCATCGTAAAGAAAATTACTATTCTGAAGTGCAACCTCACAACCATAGATTAACAGTTTGAGTCAATGAACTAACGTTCTTGTTTTTTAAAAACAAACAAAAAAACCCCAATAACCTCCACCCCCCAAACAAATGTCACCCCAATTTAAATGGCAGATTTAAGCACATAGGACACATCTGACTTGGGGGCGGGGGTTACTTTTGGTCTCAAACATGTTGAGCTAGTTATTATTGAAAGGCCAAGTTACGTTTCCTTGCCAATAAAATTACTTTTCTGTTAACGATTATAGCCAGACCCCTGCATTATATAAATTAACTAATTGTGAAAACTGAGACTAAGGTTGGCTGGAGTTGTGATGACACCAGAACCACTCAATGTGATTATAGCCTTGTAATTCATAACATGATTATCTCTCATTTGTTTGCTGTGTGCTTTCTCTACCTATAATGTGCAGAATTTTTGTCTGAGATCAGCCCATTTTGGGGGGAGGGCAGGGAGTAATTGTTTCACCATTTTCCCCCCTCAAGGTCGATTCAAATAGCATTTTACCTTTGTGACCATTTAGTCCGTATTGTGCAGCAGCAGCATCCCGTTGCTAGCTTGACTGCAATATTGGCTACAGCTTCAACTGTTTGGGGGATTGGAGATGCAGACCGATGCCATTCCTCAAAACCTGGCAAGCCAAAGACATGAAACAATTTATGGGTATTTTTTGAAAGAACAATAGCCTCAAGTACTGGATGAGAAATGCTGGACATTCCATCTCTTTTACTCATGTCACTTAAATTTTGCCAGTCCTCTTTTTTTTAACTTCCCTTTCTATTTTGTAAAATATGCTTTTTGGGGAAATTAACCTTCTGATCCAGTTGAAAGTGACAACTGCTTTCCACACAATGACTTTTTAACCTGAAGCTTTTGGAGAATAAACTAATATTACTTAATTATATATTATCTATAATTATCTATTGTGTTCTAGAGTATAAAATTATCTACTCTTGTGAAAAGTTGTGTGAGTGTAAATATATATTTGAACACGCATTATTTTTGCAAGAGTAGATAATATTACAAATCTATAATAAATTTTATATGGCATTAATTTCTCTCTCAAATCTAAATAATAAAATAAACGCACACATATATATTTCTGTACTATAGTCCTAAAGAGTTTAGAGTAGTGCAGACAGGCAGCATCTGGATTTTGTTACCTTAAAGCTAGCCATCAGCTCCTGGGACATTTTAGAGTATTTAGATGCATTGTATGTCTAAAGCCAATATTTGTGTAATCAAATAATGTGGTAGAGAACTGTATCAGTTATCATGCCTATCACGATAACACATATTAATATACCACTGTATGATTTCAGCTACTCTGTGAAATTCACAACTTTTTTATTTTCTGGAAACTATGCTGTGTATTGTGTTAAACAAAATTTTAGAATTCAACTGTGTGAAAACGTGTGTTCATATCTGGATATTCATAGACAGGGAAGGGGGAATGCATTAACTTAAAATCATATAAAGGAATTTTAGGCTTTCTGGGGGCATTTTTGTTCAATGCCTAAAGCACAGAGCAACAGGACATTAAATATACAACATTCTGAAATTTAAATGTTTTCCTCACATTTTCAGATCAAGTGCTTTGCTTTTGCTTTGCTCACACTGTAAATTAATCTCAGCTGTTCTGAAAAAAGTACAATAGTACTGTGTAGCACAGCTTTATGGAGGGGTTTTGTACAGGATTGAATAAGGTTCACAAGATATATAGTCCACATTTGTACCTTCTAATATAGCTAACATCTTGTTAAGCAACAATGGTGTACATTAATAACTATATGGGCTAAAGAATTTTAAATAGAAGAATAGGATCCACATGTTTTGGTTATTGCCTCAAGTTTTACAAATGTTACATGGCCTCATGCAGAACATGAAACACACAGTCTGATTATTCAGTTTAGTTGAGCACCTTAATTATAAGATGCCACCATTGAAGTTAATTCTTCAATGGCTGTTTCAGACAAACCCACAATAATCCAAAAATTTAAAAAGGTTCAGTTTTGTAAAGGAGATTATAATGTCTTTAATATGTCCTGTAAGGACAAACAGAGGGATTGAAAGAAAAGGTATTTTTTCCTTCTGGCATGACGCTGGCTCACTACTGAATTAGCTAAGAAAGTTCAGACAATTCAAGCTAAGTCCTGAGAGTAGAACTTGCTTATTCTAAGCATGTTATGAATTATATTTAAAATCAAACATTTTTGTTACTGTTATAAATTAGGAATATGTGGCCTCACATCATCTTGCTGCAAAGAATATCACGAAGGAATATGTTCGCGTGTCACATGCATATGACACTATTTCCTATAATTTAGGAAACCCTTTGATTTTATTTTGGACTGCTCGACAATGAAACGTTTCTAGAGTGGTGTGTGTGTTGATGGGATAACTAAGAAACCAACTAGTTTACGTAGCTGTGTTGTAGAAATTCACTTATAAGAATATCATGATACCTAATCTTGTCCCAATCCTTGAATTTCCATTTTTGATCTCTTGCCTGAAAGTGTAGTTCTTTTTTTTAAGATTGGGAGAAAAGACTGAGTGATGTGAAATGTCATGTAATGATTAAGAGTGTCATGAGGAAAAAAAGATTTCGCCAACACGGTTTTACATATTTGATGGAATCTTTTGAAGAAATAGTGCTTGTGTCTTTCCTTTGGCCTTTGCAGTTTATGGTCAGACTTAAGACTGGGAAGACCATTCTTAGGAAACAGTGCATTGAATAAATTGAGTCATTTTCTGTTTGCAGTTACCTGTGGACAGACATTGATTCTTCTGGATTTATTTTTCACAATCGTTTGACCGGCACTTTATATGAATATATTTCAGCTTACCAGTTTTTTGTATACTATTTGCTTTGCTATATCTTTGTCTAGTCACTATTTATTATTCATAGTGTGTATTTGGTCAACGAAATCACATGGTATTAGCTCCGGTTCCTGGTTGGATGGCTGAAACAGAGGGTGGCACCAGTAGTGAATACCAGTGTGCAAACACCCTGCCATGCACATATGTGTATTAGGAAGAACAGCCATTTCATAACATCTGTGTGAATAAAAACCCGTCTGGTATGACTGTTAAGAGAAAAGTGAACAAAAAGGGGTATGAAAAAGAATGAATTGGTAAGCGAGTCAAATGTGTGACAATGTTTGCACAAACTTGAGAAAGAAGCCCTGGAAATTCAAGCAAGTGTACTGCTGAAATAGTTACACTTTTTAAAAGTCACTTTGGGTATGAACATTTTTTAAAAGAATGAAATCCTTCATTCTCTCTCCTTTTTCCATTTTTAAGACATTCTTTGGTCTGAGCAAGTCAAGAACTGCTTTGAATTTTGTGTGTGCGGGAACACTTCCTCTTCCCCTGTATCAGCCTCATTTATAAAGCAAATCACCAGAACCCCCACACAGCTCTCCATGCCTCTCTACTACCTTGCACCCACCAAGCCAGAATTCTTTTCTCACTCACATTGCAGTTTAGCCAGTTTATTGCATTCCCCGCTTTGGGCCATCTGGACATACAGAAGGCCTAGAAGAAAGAGTTCCAGATACTAAGATGCCTGACAGGGCTTTTTCTGACTGGTAGTGTTCAGATTGTGTTTGGTGTCTGGTGTGAAGTAGGGGTCAGGTGTAAGGAGTAATTCATCAACCGCACACTGATTTCAGGCTGCATTTTCAGCCATCTGCAACCTGGACTGCCGCCAGGGCTCAAAAGTCTAGCTGGAGCCTGTGTGATAGTGCCAAAGTAAAAGCAAACACTTGCAAATAGAGAAATACGTTTCTGGGAATGAAATTTGTATGTACTTAGCTCTTGATTGGTTCAGTACATTATAGCATTTAAAAAAAATCTGTCTGACAGGTGTCTTTAAGATATATGCAGTTGTTTAAATGGAATTAAAATATTGTTTGAACACTGATTATATTTTTGACTGTGTTAATATCTAACCCTGGTATGCTGCCCGTTGTGTTAAACAATCAAAAAGCTTAAAATTATGTCCTCCCTAGAAAATCAGAACCACACATGCTTATTTGTCTTTCAGTACTACTTACCATATAGTTTTACACATTCTTAAGTTAAAAATATTTCTGTTGCTATAAAGGGCAATATTCTTTTCAAATGATGTTGTATT